TTAGGGCCTGTCGTCTCCAACACCCACAGGACACGGCGCACTGTCACCCTCAGACCACGGCTGCCCCTTCTTCTCTGCCAAGGCCGGCCCACGCCCAGCCGTAGGAAGGGCCGGAGTGCCAGCTCTGTACCGTCATGGCTGTCATGCCTCCGGCGAGGGCGGCATGGGCTGCACCAGGCTGGGTCTGCACCCCTGGGGGCCGTAGCCCAGCAAGGACGGGTCCTCAGGCTGCCATGCCAGCGGGGCCATGAGACACCTCCTCCAAGAAGCCTCCCCAACTGTTGCTTCCTGGCTCCTCTGCTCTGAGCTCTAATCGTGCAGCTGGAGCAGGGCGGGGGGTGCCCCAGCCTCCCTCTCTCTCCTGTTTCTCAGCCAGCTCGTCCCCCTGCCTGGAGCCTGGCCCCCCGCACATTCCTGTCCCACAGCTGGGCCCAGGTCGGGAGCACACCCAGGTGGCCAGGGAAGAGCCACTTCCTGCCCCTTGAAGCTGTTCCTGGACCTTGGAGGTCGGGCCTCAGGCAGGCGCCACGGAGGGACAGGCGGCCATTGCCAGAGCCGCACATTCAGGTGCCTCAGTCTCCCCAGAGCCCCCCGGTCTCCTCTCTGCCCTGTCCTCGCCTCCCACTGAGCCACCCATGTGTGACAGACCCTGCCAAGGACCTCGAGGCCCAGAGCGGGTCAGAGACTTCCCAGGTCCCTCGGCAGCCCGGGCAGCAGCAGGCCTTGCATGTGGGCCGGGGGCAGGTGGGCCGGGCCAGGCTGGAACGGCCCCAAGTTCCGGAGTGAGGGTGGATTGGAGGGACAGCGGCGTGCGCTCTGGGTCTCAGCGGGAACAGCCACAGCTGGCAGGGCTGCTGGGCCACGGCTCTGTTTTCCAAAAACACAGATGGGCCGGGAAGGGGGTCGGAGCAAGGCCCGGGCGGAATGCGGGGCCCACGCGGCCCTGGGGTTCTGCTAACTCAGCAGCCCTGTCCCCACGGGCTGCAGGGTGGGGCCTCCCCCAAGGCTCAGGGGGCTGCGGCCCCCCAGGCTGGGCCGCCCAAGGCCAGCCTTCACCCCTGGCAGGGCACAGAGCTGGGCACAGCTGGGAAGGACGCCCCACTGGTCACGGATGGGAGCGGAGGTGGCTGCTGGGTGTGGGCCACCGGGCTCTCTCTAGACACTGAGTGTACCCGGTGAGGGTCGCGGGGAGGCACCCCCACTTCACCCTCAGCCTGGGACTCCGGCTCCAGCTCAGTCATGGACACCCGGGTACCCCCAAGACGCCCTTGCTCGCCCCTGCCTTGGGGAGCGGGGATGATGGGGTGCCCTTTGGTACAGCCCAGCTTCCCGGGCAGCCTCAGGGACACCGTGGGAGCCGCAGAGCTGTCTCAGGGCCCCTGGGGTCAGGACGGTCCCCGACAGCGGCAGATGGGCAGGAAGTGGGGAGTCCAAGCCTGGTGGGGCGGGGCCGGAGGCCACCTGGGCGCGGGACAGTGAGCCGAGGACAGCGGGCGGGGGGGAGGCCGGCGGGGGGCTCGGCGCCGGCGCAGCAGGACCAGGCCGCACGGACAGCGGGGAGGCCGCCTCCGGCCCGCGCCCCTTTCGAAGGAATCTGCCTCGCTGTTCCCGCGGCCCAGGCCAGAAACAACAGTTGGGGGCGGGGGGCGGATGAGGCTGCACCCCCACTGCAGCCGCCATGTTCCCAGACCCCGTCCTCCCGTGACCCCCACACGTCCTCTCAGCACTGGGAGCAGGGCCCTTGCCCTGACCCGCGGGACCCCAGCTTGGGGCCTTCTGGGCCCCAGGGTCCCCAACCCCTGACGCCCCCACCTCTCACTGTGACAGGGACTCCGCCTCGGGCTCCAGTGGCCCAGGTGGCCACAGCAGTGAGGACCGCCATTAGCCTCCAGCCTCAGTATGAGGAGGGCGGGAGGTGGGGTCCGACTCTAGCTGGAGGTTTTCTCAGCACGTTAGGGACCAGGGACATCGGTCAGCTGGCTGTGCCCCGGGTCTGCGGCCTGCGAGGACCCTGGGCTGGTGAGAGAAGCTGGCCTGGGGCTTGACAGCCGCCACCACGCAGCGTCCTGACTCCATCTCCCCTCGTAAACCCCAAGCCCTCCCGAGTCCAGGGCGGGGGCAGTGGGGGACCCGCACCCCGTCACAGCACAGCGCAGCCGAGCCCCGCCGCAAAGGTGAGCTTTTGGCGCCATCTGCTGGTTGCATCTGTGAATGGCCGGGCAGCACGTCGCTGGGTGTCCCTAGGTGCCACCTAGAAAACAGCCACCTGCACAGGGGACAGCCCCGCCAGGTCCTCCTCGGGCACGTCCCTCGGTCTCCCTCCCTCACAGCCTGGCTGGAGACAGACAGCAGCTGGCCTCCCGCCGGAGCCCTGCCCAGGGCGCCTTTTCCCCTTTCCCTGGGCTGCGCCCTCTCCCTGGGCCGGACTCCGCTGGGCACCAGGCCCTCCAGGGCCGGGATCGACCTTGGCACCCCTGCATCCCTCGCACCCTCGGGGATACTCTTCCTGGACAGCAGTGAGGACAGCAAATATTTGCAGCCGACAGGAGAAGGCAAACACAGCCCGGGCCAGGCGCAGGTGCCAGGGTGTCTACGCCAGAGTAGACGCAGCCCAGGAAGGGCTGGAGCCCCGTCCCCACGCTGGGCCTCAGTCTCCCCTTGAGGCACACGGGTACCAGAGTTCTCAGCCCTCCTGGCACGTGTGAAGGTGACACACCTAAACAGACGGGAGGCCAGTGAGCAGGCCGCCCTCGGTGACACCCCTCGCCCTCCGGACACCGGGCAAAGGTTGCAAGGGGGCACGGCAGGTTTGAGGGTTTGGGGAGCAGCTGCTCCTCCACCCTCACTGCCCTGCAGCTGGGGAGCACTTGGACCCCAGCCCCCAACGCCAGGGTGACAGGCAGAGCTGGACACGGCTGGTGGCCACTGCCAGCCCTGCGGGCCGTGCGGCCCAGGTGCCAAGGGCAGGCAGGGTCTGGGAACGGGAGGGCTGTCCTGCAGATTCCCAGAAGGGGCGGAGCACAGGCGCGGCCGGGCGGGGACCGCAGAGCCACGGCCTGTGGGCCTGGCGTGCGTGGGCGGCCACACTCCCCAGGCAGGTGTCAGCGGCAGGTGGTGCCCGTCGGGAGGTGGCTGACAACCACCTCCGCCACCCTGGGTGCCCACTTCTTGTCTGTGCCCAGCACAGGGAGGCGACCCCTACACCGTCTGGTCTCCCCCGCGCCGACCTTCTCAGGGACACACAGTGGGGGGCCGAGGGGCTGGAGGAGACAGGTGTGGGGAGGGGTCCCGGGTCTCAGCACCGGGGCGGCTCTCAGGAAGGCGGGGGGGTGGCGCAGCAGCACCCTGTGACCACGTCTCTTCTGGCCAGAGGCCCCCGGGACAGACACCACAGAACTTGGCCCCTCAGTGACCCTCCTCAGCACCCCCTGCACCACCCAGAGGCGGCCACACCGTGAGTCCCACGAGGCTGGGGTGGCCCACGAGCGCCTGGCCCCACAGGGCTCCTGCTGCCCTCCAGCTCCCCCCACCCCCTCCGGAGTTTGTCGGTGCCTCGGGGCATCTGCCCATCCCTCCCAGGGCCTTGCTGGCCACCGGGGCCGGCCGGGGTGACGGGCTCGGCCAACGGCTGCTCTTGGCGCCTGCCCGGCACACGTACCTCGGTTCCGGAAGGACGCCCGTGCCTCTGCCGCGCGAATGGGGCCGGCTGGGCCTTCCTGTGGACGGCCGGCGGCTGGTCCCAGGCACCTCCTCCCTCCTCTTCCGGGTCCAGTGTCCGGCCGTCCACCCGCCAGCCCAGCCTTGGCCCCCACTCCAGGGGCGGGGCCTGCAACATCCCTGGGAGGGGGTGTCACTGCTGTCGCGGGCAGGGGGTGACCTCCGGGCTGCAGGAAGGAGGCTGCCAGGTGCCAGCCCCAGGCCCAGCCATCCCCAGCCCTGGCCGGGCGGAGCTTTCAGGGGAGGTGCAGATTGGTTTGGCCCCGGCAGCAGGCAGGCTGGCCAGAGCTTGCGGCGGCCAGGGTCACCCGCTGACCTCCCAGGCCTCGGTCAGTCAGCCCAGGTAGCCCCAGGCTCCCGTCTGCGCTCCAGTCTGGGTGCCCAACGGAGCCATTTGTGCTCAGTGGGTGCTGAAAGGGCTCACGCCAGGACCCCAAAGACCTGCGCGCAGGGTGACCTTGCCTCCAGGGCCTTCGGCACTCGTGGGGGTGACCACCAGGCCTGTGGCTGAAGGGATCTGGCTGAGTGGCCCTGTCTATGGGGACGGAGAGGGCTGAGGGAGACCCTGGCCCTGGTCCCCGGCCTTGTGGTCTTGGTGGTTCCCAGCGCATGTGGGCTGCAGCTCTCAGGGCCTCGCGGCCAGTGCCGGGGAGAGGGGTTCGGGCCCCACCCACGGCCATCCCTGCAGCTGCCCGGCTGGTGGGGAGTCATCCGGCCCGTCCTGCTTCCTCTAGAGCACTAGGGTCCCTCAGGAGTCTGGCTGGTCTGGGCTGGGGGCTGTGACGGACCCCACCCGCCCAGAGCTGGGGGCAGCAGGCGCTGAGGGAGGCCCAGCCTCAGCAGCCTCTCAGCCCCTTCCTGGCCCCACCCCTGCAGGACCCCTCCGCCAGCCCGGCCTCCTCCCTGCACAGGGACTCCATCAGAAACAGCTCTAAAAATAGGGCCTGGAGGGGGTAGGTGGGAAGAAGTCACTGGAATGTTCTCATTCTCTTTCCTTGAAAATTCTCTGGGGACCCTGAGGGCCCAGGGCTTTTGAACAGGGTAGTCAGCTCCCCGAGACCCCATGGCCTCTCAGCTTGCCCGCGTCCCCCAGAGCCCCACGGTAGGGGCAGCAGGCAGCGACCTTGGGCAGGGCACTGCCACTCAGCCGGGCCTGGCCAGCGTCGGCCTGCGGGCGCCTGGTGAGCGTGGAGGACGCTCGGAGGGGGTGCGGTGCGGCGGGGCCCAGCGACACACGGACGACACACGGGGCCATTCGAGGTGTTTATTCGCCGGGGGCGGGGGCGGCTAGTTGCAGTAGTTCTCCAGCTGGTACAGGGAGCAGATGCTGGTGCAACACTGCTCCACGATGCCGCGCTTCTGCGGGGCCCCCTCCAGGGCCAGGGCCTGCAGGCCGCCCGCGCCGAGGCTCCCGTCCGGCCCCACCTGCCCCGCTGCCGGCAGAGGGAGAGAAAGGGCGAGGCCGTCAGGGACGCAGAGCCGCCTGCCCCCAACCCGGGGTCGCGGCCAGGCAGGGACAGATGGGCCCTGAGCCCACACACCCTGCCACCTGTCCCCGGCTGGGGCAGTGCCACAGCGGGAGCATGACGGGTGCCCACAGGTACCGTCCCCGGGGCCTGCCCATCTCCTGACTCCCCACTGCCCCCCCGACTGGCTACGGTGTGTCCACACTGGGAGTGTGCGCAAGCGGGCGGGGTGGGGGGGCCACTTCCTGAGGTCGCCCTGAGACCACCAACGCCCAGGACTTGAGGTACTTATTAAAGTCCGCCCCCTGAAGCCGCTGTCGTCCTATGAGGTAGAGACATGGGCTGGGGCATTTATTTGGGGAAGACGGGTGTGGGGAGGGCCGCGCCCGCCTCCCCGGCCCGCACTGTCCTCAAGCCGGGAGTCTCCAGCCGGGCCACGGGGGGCCGGCCACTTTCAGGATGTGGCCAAGAGAACTCCCTTTCCTGTCTGCGGAAGCTGGCCTGACCCCCGCGGGGCGGCAGCTCCTGCCCGCCTCTGCCCTGCAGGCCGGGTGCTCACCCTGGGGCTCCTCCAGCTCCCGGCGGGTCTTGGGCGTGTAGAAGAAGCCTCGCTCCCCGCACACCAGGTAGAGCGCCTCCACCAGGTGGGAGCCGCACAGGTGCTGGTTGACGAAGGCGGGGGCGGGCTCGGGCCCCCATAGGGCCAGCAGGGCCAGCAGCGGCAGGAGGTGCGTCCACAGGGCCATGGTGGGTGGTGACGACCTGGGAGAGGAGCAGGGCTGAGGCCAGCACAGGTGGGCGCCCTGCCCGGGGACCCCCTGCTTGCCCCCTGAATGCTCCAAGAGAGGAGCCCACTCGCCACCCCCTGCAGAGCTCGGGTCCAGGGTCCCGCCGCCCTGGAGCCCCCCAGCCGGGCAGCCGGGACCCAGGCCGATGAGGAGACCACTGGCACAAACCTGCTTGCTGACAGCTGGTCCACAGGGCTGGGGGCTGCCAGGCACTGCTGGCTTTATAGCCCCGAGCCCACCTCCCCCGCCCCCCAGCCCTGCTGCCCGGCCCATTAGGGCCTGGGGGGTCGGCAGATGGCCAGGGGCTGAGGCTGCAGTTTCCGGACCATTTCCCTGGTGCCAGGGCTGGGAACATCTTCTCGGTCGTCAGCACCTCTCACTGGGGGCCACGCAGTCATTAGTGTCTTAATGAGGCCCTGCCAGCGGAGCTGTCCCCATCGCAGCTGGGGGCAAGCATGGCCAGGAGAGCACAGCCCCGCCCGACTTCCGGAGACATTTTCCGCATCAATCTGCAGACCCTGGGGCTGCAGGAACTGGGGGTGTCCTTGTGCCCATCCCTGCACCCTTGCCCTGGCCTGACCTCCGTGCCCCACGGATGGTGTGGGGACATGTCCTTCCTGCTCACTGCCATGGCCCCCCCACGCCCAGGACAGCAGCCCCAGCGGGGCCTCAGCTCCCCCGGGGGGCAGAGCCCAGGGCAGGCCACACCGACACGTGTCCTCGGGGACGGGGCAGCAGGAGCCACACGACTCCCCACACGCGGCACACGCCGGCCCCTCTGGGTCCCGCCCAGGTGTCCTCTCGGCCCCCACCCTCTTCCAGGGGCCGGGCCATCTCCCCACTTCCAGCCATGCCCCGCCACCCGTCACCTGCCTTGGGTGTCATTGGGCTCACCCCTGGCCCTCCCAGCCCCTCGACAGGCACCCAGAGGCCCAGCCTGACCACAGGGCGTGCGTGGACGCTAAGCCCCCATGCCTGCACCTCCACCCGCCCCATAGCACCTTGCAGAGACACCCCTGAGGTCGCCTGAGACCAAGGGGGTAGGACGGGTTGGGGGCATCCTGTGCCCTGCACCTTCTGTCCCTGCCACCCCTGCCCAGGCCCCGCCCCTCCTCCCCAGCCTGCCAGCGGGACCCTCTGCCCGGCACTTGGGGTGGGGCCCTTTGGGGACGGCCCCCCACACACGCCAAGCCTCAGGCTCCCCCCACCCCGTGCAGGGCTCTGTAGGGAGCGGGTGCCAGCTGTCAGGACACCAGAGCTCCGGGGCCCCTCTGCAGCTGGGGAAGACGTGGTGCCACCTTGAGAGGGGTGGGCAGGGAGGGAGGCTGGATGGGGAGGACCAGGTGGAGGGCAGAGCCCAGGCCTGGCAGGGCCGGGGGAAAGGGAGGAGGTCAGCCCTTCCCCAGGGGCCTCGCGGGGCTCACAGCCCTGAAGAAAAGTCCCCGGTGCGGCCTCGTGGGCTGAATGCATGTGGACTCCGGGGGCTGGGCACAGACAAGGCGGTGAGGAGCGCTGATGGAACAGCGCCCTGCCAGGAGGGCCTTGATGGATGAGTAGGAGTTTGCTGGGTGGCCAAGCCAAGGGTCCTGGTAGGGCATGGTAGGGGCAGCTGCAGGCTGTGAGCAGGGCCTTGCAGACGGGCTGGCACCCCCTCACCCTGCAGGGAGCAAGGGGGGGTCCTCACAGGAAGCCTTGGGGCCGCTCTCTCCAGGGGCAGAGGTGGGGTGGGACGGGGGGCGGGGGTGTCAGGCCAGGCCTGCAGGGTGCGATGGCTCCAGCTAAAGCATGACCTCGGGCCCCGCAGGTGAGCCGGGGGCGTCTTACAGAGCCCGTGTCCAGCCCCCCGCCTTGCTGGGGACAGGAGGGCCCTGGAGAGTTCTGGGAACCTGCTCGGTCGGAATCCTCCCCTCGGCTCACATTCTGGGGAGCCCACAGAGGCCCAGGTCCTGCCCTGGGTGGGGTGGGGGATCAGAGCAGCTGTGGACCCCCCACTCCCCTGCCTGCTCTGAGGCCGGGCCCCCGGGCGTGGGGACCACCCCCGGTCAGCACGGCTGTGCTCCTGCTCCCTGCCGGGGCAGAGGGAGGCCGCGTCCCAGGGAGGAGGGCAAGGGCGGGCCCCTGAGCCAGGCTGGGGGCGCAAGGTCGTGTGTGGCGCAGACTCGGGGCCAGGCGGCGTGCAGAGACCGTTCCTTCTTTATTGAGAGGGCGAGTGGGGCGGCACACAGCGTCGGGGTGGGGCGGCGGCCGGCGCGGGGCCGCAGCAGCAGGGCAAGGATGTCAGGTGCACACTCCGGCTGACGGCGCTGAGAAGCGGGAGGGTGTGGGGGGGGCCTGGTAGCCAGGCAGGCTCCAGGGTGCCCGGGACCCAGCTCCTCGCGTGGGCCTGAGCTCTGGGACGCACAGCAGCCGCAGGAGTTTCGGGAAGGGGCCGGGAGACCCCAGGGCGGGCCCACTGGGGCCCTCGGGTCGCGCCTCCGCGCCTAGCTGATGGCGCTGAGCGCGTGGGCGAGGGTGTGCAGCTCGTCCTGGACGCCCTCCAGGGAGCGCAGGACGGCGCGGGGGCTGTCCAGCACGTCGACGGCCCGCGTGTAGGGGTCGAACTTCACAGAGAAGGGGCGCTGGATTCGCGAGGCGTAGCTCCTGGGGGGGAGATGGGGCGCCTCAGCCACCCGGGGGGGCCCGGAGGAGACAGAGCAGAGCCGCACCTGGGCGGCAGGGCTGGTCCCCGCATCGCGTCACGGCGGGCTCAGCTCCCAGGGCTCTCTTGAGCCGCCTGGGCCGCGGAGCTCGTCCTGTCCGACCACCTGGGGCCTCCTCCAGGGCCGGGCGGGCGGCTTTGCCAAGGGAGCTTCTGCTGGGCGCCCCGCCCCTCCCGCACCTCAGCCGGGCCCCTCCTCCAGGAAGCCTTCCTTGAGCATGTGCCCTGGAGAGCCCCCAGCCCTCCCCTCCTCTCCACACTGGACACAGCCCCTGGCTCAGTTTCCCCATTGCACAACCAGAGGCCGGAGGGACATGGTAAGTCCTTTCAGGAGGACGAGCCTGTCAGGCTCTGCTCCCCTCCCCAGGACCTCGCTCACAGCACCCCAGCCCCAGCCCTGGGAACTCACCCGCCCCCACGCCCCCCCAGCCCTGTCTCCCCTCCCCAGCTGCCTGGCGTCCTCAGGGAGGGTGGGCCTGCCGTGAGTGGTGTTGTAATGGAGGCTCAGGGTCTTCACCCGTGACGCGGGTTCACAGGCCCTGCGGGTGGCTGGGATGAAGGCCTGGCTTGTCCAGATCGGGGCGCGGCGGGGGTCTTGCCCGGGAGCCCCCGTACCTGAGCTTGTCCTTGGCGTCGCTGAAACTCTCAGACACGAAGTAGACGGACTGGTAGGTCTGGTCTTGGTAGGGCTGCACGGCCGCAGCCTCGGGGTCGAAGGCCCGGATCTCGGGCTCCTCAGACAGGGAGTGCTGGCAGGAGGCCACAGGGTCACCGGGCACCCCATGGGCCCAAGGGGACCGAGCTCTACGGCCTGCCTCCACGGTGGGCTCTGGGCATGGATTCGCCCCTTCCTCCCCCCGCCGGTCCTCCCGAGGCCTGGGGACAGGGTGGGCTGGGGACTGGGCGGAGACCAGCTTTCTCCAGAGGGGGCTGGAGTCCTGGAGGCCCAGCAAGGTTCCCCGCTGCAGGGGGCAGGCCGTGGCAGGGGGTTCTCACCAGGAGCTCCCCGTAGGAGGACAGCAGCCCGGCGCCATAGGCCTTCAGCTCCCCGTTCTGTTTGCAGAGACCAAACTCCACCGTGAACCAGTACAGCTGTCGGGGACAGCCAGGCAGCGTCGGTAGAGAGACAGCTGCCACCCACAGCCCCCAGGAACGGTGGCCGGGCACCACCTGCATAGGCTGGTGGGCTGGACAGGGCAGGGACGCACTCCCTGGACAGAAGCAGGGACCTCCGGGACAGACAGCAGGGTGTGGCCTGAATCTGGGAGCCCCACCCCGAGGGCCCTGCCGGGGAAGCAACCCACCGTGGACAGCTTCTCAATCTCCTCGTCCGAGGCCCCCAGGGAGGCAAGGCCAATGTCCTGTGGAAGGGGGAGGCTGAAGCCGGGGAGACAGCCCTGGCACCGCGCCTGAGGGGTCAGCAGCCCCTCCGGGGCCTCAGACACGGCCGGGATGCCAAGACCCTCCCTGACCACCGAGGGCCCTCGACCCACTGCTCCGAGGAGCCAGCAGGTGGCAGCACAGGCCGTGGGATCCCTCTGCTGGGCCCTGGGCTCTCTCGGGGACAGGTCTGTCCCATGCACTAGAGCGTCCTCGGGCCTCGCCCACCCCGTCTGCTTGCGCCTCACCATGAAGCCTCCCAGACCCACGAGGGCACTGTCCACTGTGGGGGCACCGAGTCCCCGTGGTGGGGCCGGGAGCAGGCGGCACCACTGGTGCGTGGAGCCCCAGCCCCTGCCGGGCCCCCGGTGACCCCCGGCCCCCGGCCCCAGGCCACGGCGCACCTGGGAGAACTGGGCGAAGGTGCGGTCGGCCAGCATGGGCACGTGCCCCAGCAGCTCGTGGCAGCAGTCCCTGCGGCGGGCGTGGGGAGAAGGGAGGTGTACGCCCTGCAGCCTCCCTCCGCCCTCCCTCGGGGACCACGGGATGGGCCCTCCCTGCCTCTGTGACCTTGTTTATAAAGGGCATCCTGGCCAGCTCGTGGGGGCAGGGCCACGGCGCAGAGGCCGCCGCCGGGCGCGCACTCACGGCTCGGGGGAGTGCATGGGCGAGGACGCGTGGCGGATGTACTGGGTGCACTGGAACACGCGGAAGGCCAGGCTGGCCAGGAAGTCGCGGGCAGACAGCAGGCCGGCCACGGGCCGCAGCTGGAAGCCCGTCCGCTCTGCAAGGGGCCGCATCGGTCGGGCTGGCACCCAGGCCGGCTTGGGCCTCGCGGTGACAGTCCCCAGCCCCCCCGCCCGGACCCTCCGTGCAGTGCCGCACCCTT